TTGGAGAGGATTAAACCAAGCTACTCTTTGGAGGCAAGGATTCTGGGGCTTCGTCTGACATACTTTGGACATGTTGCCAGGAGGGACGGGTCCTCGGAGAGGGACAACATGTTTGGGAGGATGGAAGGACAGCGCAGGAGGGGAAGACCTTCTATGAGATGGATTGATTCGGTGACTGGGATAATCGGAATGGGTGCGTCAGAGACAGTGCGGTTGGTGCAGGATAAAGCAGGGTTTAGGGCTGTTGTGCATAGGGTCGCTATGAGTCGCAAACGACTCAACGGCACATAACAACAACAACAACATTCACTTTTCAGGTGTGTCTCTTGTGAACAGCATATTGATGGATTTGCGGTTTTTACCCAATCTACTACTCCTTTTCCTCTTCAGTGGTTCATTTAAACTATTCACATTCAGTGTGATTATTGAAAGTCAGGGTTTTATTGCTATCATTGTGTTAGTTCTTTTCGGTGTTGTTCTTGCTACTTTGCTCCATTCTGCTTTCTGTGGCACCTCTGTAAGAAGGTCGTCTCTCAGTGTTTCCTGAAATACTGGTCTTGTTTTTGCAAACTCCCTTATGTTCTGTTTTTCTGGGAATATCTTGATCTCCATATTTGATAGACAATTTCGCTGGGAACAATATTCTTGGTTGACCGGTCTGTTCTTTAAGTGTTTGACATATGTCTTTCCACTGTCTTCTAGCACTCATGGTTTCTGCTTAGAAATCAGCAATTAATCTTATCTAATCTCCCTTACAGGTTACTCTTTGTTCCTCCCTCGCTGCTTTCAGAATTCTCTCATCTTTGGTACTAGCAAATTTGACTATGATATGCCTTTCTGTTTTTCTTTTGAGGTCTATTCTATATAGTGTTCTCTCAGCTTCTTGAATATATATTCTCTCATTCTTCATTATGCCTGGGAAGTTTTCTTCCAGTAATTCTTCTACAACTTTTTCAGTGCCTTTACTTGCTTCTTCCTGTTCTGGGATTCCAATGATGTGCATGTTATTTCTATTTATGGTGTCACACATTATTCTTAGGTTTTCTTCTTTTTCCTTCTTTTATGATTCTTCTTTTTGCTCTAGCAAATTAGTGGTGATAATTCTATCTTCTCTTTCACTGGTTGTGTGTTCCATCTCTTCAACTCTGTTCATATGTCCCTCCATCATGTTGACACCTCTGAAACATTGGACCTCATATTTAGGATCACAAGTTCTTGTTTTTCCAGAGCCTCTAATGCCTTGTTTGTTTTATCTGCATTGTTTTGGATTGACCCTCCACCTTTCCAAGAATGATGACCTCTTCCAAGGAATAGCTTCTCCTGGTCACATGCCCAAAGTATGAAAGATAAAGCTTTGCCATCTTTGGCTCCAAGGAGCATTCTGGCTGCACTCTTCCAGGATGGATATGTTTACTCTTTGGCAATCCATGGGATATTCAGAACTCTTCTCCATCACCAGAGTTTAAAGACATCATTTCTTCTTTTATCATCCTTATTCACTGTTCAGCTCTCATATGTATAGCAAGTTCCAGATGGCATAAACAGGAATCAAGTTGACTACATCAATGGAAAGAGACATTGAAAAAGCTCAATATCATTAATTAAAACAAAGCTCAGCACTGACAGTTGGACAGACTATCAGTTGCTCATATGTAAGTTCAAACTAGAAATTCTTTTGACCTCGTGGTTAGGAATTGCATTGCCAACCCAAAAGCATGCAGTTGTAATATGCCAGCTGTTCAAAGGGAGAAAGATGAGCAATCTCCTTCTGTGTGATTTACGGCTTCTGAAAACTAGCTTGAATATCATCTATAAGTTAATTCCACCTCAACAGTACATAACAACAAGTTCAAGCTGAGACTGAATAAAATTGAAATTAAGTCCATGAGAGCTAAAATACAACCTTAAGTTTATCCCACTTATATTTAAAAACCACCTCTGGTATAGATTGAAGAGTAAATGATTTATAGGTTGACATCAGTCACACCATGCATGAAAAAAGCAAAAGATGATTTAAAAGACAGAAAAGAATGGAAAAAAAACCCAAAACCATATGACAGAAGAGACTCTGAAACTTGCTTTGGAGAGTATTGTTGTTGTTGTTAAGCGCCTTCGAGTTGCAGGCGACTCATAGCGACCCTATGAAGGAGAGTCCCCGACGCTTGGGTGCCTTTCATCCTCTCTCCAGGTTCATAGGGTTTCCGGAGGCAAGCTGTTATGGAAGTGGATGCTACTCCTCCTTCCACGCTTGTTTAATCGGGAGCTCCACCCCACTCTCAGTCGGCATTGGATAGCCAACCATTAACGCATTTGACACATCAGTGTCACAGTGTTCAGCCTCACAATAACCACAAGTGACCGTGGCATGGCAACTTGTACACCAGGGATATACGACCTAGAGATAGAGAAGCTAAAATGAAAGGGGGGAAAAAGAAGAAAGCTGAATGGAAGATTTTTTTAATGCAATTTAGAAAGACACAGTAAAAGATGATTGCAAAATGTGGAAAAATCTGGAGTTTGAAAACCAAAGAAGAGCATGGGCAGCATTTCTCAAGCTGAAAGAACTGAAGAACAATGTTGACCCTCTAGTTGCAATGCTGAAGGAGTCTATGGGGGAAATTTTGAATGACCTAGCCATGAAAAATTATGAAAGTAATGCATAAGTCACTGTACCAAAAACAATTGGTTGACACTGAATCATTACATGGACCACTGCATTGCAATATCAAGAACCCATGATACTATACACACAATGGAATACTATGCCACACTTAGGAGAATGATTTTGTAAAGTAACATGGTAGCCTATAGAGAGCATTACAAATCCTGTATATCGTTATTGTTATATAGATGGATAACTAGTAAAATGTAAATACAAAATAAGAGTATCAGGAAAGTGGTACATGATTGGGTAAGGTTTCAATCCACACTTGTTTACTAGGAGTCAGAGTGAACTCAAAGGCACCTTATAAAAACAATATTACTAATGTCATTTTCCTTAAGAATCCAATGTTTCACATGCTCTATGAATCATAAGAAATGCTGTATAAGAAATTTCCTGGAAGCAGAGGAGTGAAGGTGGGCAAAGGGGAAATCATAGCTTCACACAATTTGATGGGTGGAGGGAGGGAGTGAGGGAAATGAGAAAGATTGTGGTGAGGACCTGAAAAGATGGAATAATGGTGGGCATGGTTCCTTGGCGATTAATTTCATAAAACACAATGTATGGGTATGACTGGATGAAACACAATGTCAATGAATGAAAATGTGAAGCACAAAGTATATCAATTTTTATGCAAAACAATATAAAAATATTTTTAAAAAAACTTCAGTGGTTGAAAATAAGAAATATTTGTTATCATAAATTTTCTATAAATCAGGGACTTGAAGAGTAGTCTAGGGGAATGGTTCTGGGTAAATCAGTATGGGATTATGTAATGACTTAAGTGGGGCTAGAAAAGTCACTTCCAAGTTCATTCGCATAGTTGTTGGCAGGTGATCTCAGGTCTTTGTATCAGCCTCGCCACAGGATTTCTTGAGTGTCCTTCCTATAGGATAGCTGGCTTTTCCAGAGCTGGCAGTCCAAAAGGGAACAAATATGAAGCCACAGTACCTTACATGACCTAGTCTCTCAATTCACATATTGTCAATTATACCTGAATCTATAATCAAACAATTTTATACGTTAAATCCTTTCTGACCAATCAAGAACCCTCTCGGTAGTCAAACTAATGGGTACATTACAAATGTTTTAAATGTAAATTAAATAGTTTTTAATTAATTGAATTTCATGTTAAAATAAAAAAAATTGGTAAATGTTCACACTCACATACAAATGTATGTTACTTTTTTTATCTTTTCTAAATAAAGAGAGGATGGCTGTGTTTCTATCCCAACTCAAGCTGCCAGCTGCAATGTTGGCTGCTCAGGGTCACGGGAGGCCTGGTCCACCAGGAAAGGATGGATTACCTGGGCCCCCAGGAGACCCTGGACCTCAAGGTAAGTCTTCAAGTATTATATTTGCTTACCACTGTTTCACATCTCCATTTTTATAATATGCTAATCACATTTGAAGATATACACACATGCATATAAAGTCTATTTTATGTAAATGCCATATATACATATATTTTTTTATTATTTTAAGAGTCTTAGTGGAATGGCAGTTAAATGCTGGCTGCTAACCAAAAGGTATGTGCTTCAAACTCACCTAGTCACTTCACGGGAGAAAGACTTGGCAATCTCCATCCAAAAGGATTACACCCAACAGGAGCCATTCTCATTCTGTTAGAGGGATAACTATGAGGGAGAATGGACCAAACAACAGCATTATTGATATAATATCTTAAGGTTTTACATCCCAGAAGTATATTTTTAACTCATACTACTTCAAAGTTAAAAGTGACTTACAATGGTGCAAACCAAAATATTTTATTAATAATATTTATTATACCCAAACCCACAAAAATATATACATAAATGTCATTAGTGCCTGGGAATTTCCATTATTATCTGGTATTAACATTGACCACACTCGTGGATGTTAATTCCAACAGAAAGAATTTAATAACTTGAAGAAATTAAGTAATAAATATTAAAAGTTATTTTGGTCTAAAATATATTTTGGAGAAATTGTAGGCTATTTCTTCTTCTCATGGGCTTTATGGCTGATAATTTTAAAGACTTTTCCTTTGTTCTTCTTAAAATGTTAGCTAAAATTTACTTGAATTGGCAAAATTCTGCCCCACTTAAAAGAATTTGATGAGAGACATGCTCTTGAATCTAGCTTTACAAAATTAAGCTGTTGAACTATTTTCTTAAAGAATGTTCAGCATTAGCAAAGTGGCCAAATAGATCTTGGTTTAGAAGCTTCAGAACTCTTATCAGAAAAGTTAGATCAAATGAATAGATACCAGGAAAGGTAAGACCGGGAAACTTGCTTTTCTTATAATATCATAGAGGAGCTCAGGGTACATCATGGAAAAAAATCAGAAACAGTTTACGTAAAGGAAAAACTAAGACGTTAGAGCTAAAGTTATATAGAAATGAAGCCAAAAATAGATTCAAAGGGATTCTTTTTTTCTTCCTTCCATCCACTAGTTCCCTCTTTCGTCTACGTCTCTATAACCTAGAATCTCATTTTCTATAGGAATTACCCACCCCCACCACCATGCCTTCCCTCCCCGGAAGGAGCAAAAATGTCTTAGTCCCTGGTTAGAATGCCCAGTAAGATCACAACTGACAATTGTGTAGTTTGTAAACAAAAGTGAATTCACTATCATTTACCTAATCAGTAGATTCTATAGGTGTCTTAAATCTTAGAATTTTGGGGCATAGTTGGAAGGAAAAGCAAAGTGTCAAATCGGGTGTATCCTTTGTGTATATGTGTTGTCACATGCTATCTTTCGCTAGCTGAGTCTGTTCTGATGTCAGAGTGTATGAGCCTGGAGTGAAGTAATTGAAAGTCTAACCGAAGATGCATGATGCCTCAAAGCATGTGAAGAACAAAAACTCTGAACACCACTACCAGAAAAGCTTTCTACAGCTGCACCCTAAAAAGACAAAGAATAATGGTGAATGAGGATTATCGAGAAAATTCTGAAACTGGAATCACACAGATGGAGCCTATCAAGTTTGTGTTTTCCACACAAAGGCCTATCTCCATATTCCCTTTTAAGGATATCCCCTCTGGGAGGTTCTCAGTCAGAGGCAATTCTAAGTGTTAGGTGGTGACTAATGTTAATGGAGCCTTTAGAGAAATGGCTTGCATGTACCACTGGATTCTCATTATCAGCTGTTTAACTAAGAGATATTACTCTTTGAGCAACTGCAATTCTTGAATTTGAAAGATTTTTCCTTATATATTTTTTTTTATCATTAGTTACTTTTTAGCTCACCTTAGAGCGTCCCACAGTAGGTCTATCTTGAATATCATTTCTAGGTGCCTGCTGTATCTGCGTGTGGACTTATTTTTCAGAATTTGTTACATTTGTCAGGAACGCAGCAGAAAAACAAAACTTGCATAAAGATTTATTTGTTTAAGATATTTGCTGGCTGTCAGTCATCCTGTTCTGATAACCCTGGCTGTCTAAAGCCACATACATGTCTTACTGACAAAAACAAAACAAGAAGCAATTATGTTCTTTTTCAGGCATTTTTCCAAGAACACACAAAGAGTTGCAGGGTTTTGCTCCAAGAAATTTATAGATATGAAATGTTCATAAGATGAAATTATGAATGAAACATCAGAGATTCTCTCTATTTAAAATGTTTCTGTAACTACTTATTTGGTAGTGGAGCTCACACATTTTGCACCATGTAAAAATGTGTTCAAGAATATGGAATGAGTCCCCTATCACTTTACCATTGTCGGTCCCAGCTCACCAGGTTTCAGAGGTTTTAAGTCCTTATGGGATGAGACGACCTCATCTTTTTTTTTGGTAGAGCAGCTAGTGGATTTGAACTACCAACCTTTTGGTTAGCAGACTTATGCATAACACACTGCATTACCAAGTGTCCTTTTACTGTCTTCATGGAAGAACAAAAATAAAAAAGGGGATACCCTTTTTTATTTATTTTTTTAAGCACAATATCAGGTGCTTATTCTGAATAGCAGGAGATATAAAGAGGGCAGTAAAAAAAAAAAAAAGTGATGTGAGACAATCAACACATCTTCCAAACTGAAAGAGAGGTGTGTTCTCATCAAGATTCTGGTGATGAAAATGTGGGTGGGGGTCCTCTTTCCCTGATCTTCTGGAAGTGAGCGTAAAGACTAAGTATTCTTTTATCTTTGGGGGAAAAGTTCTTTCATTGGGGGAGGTGGGGCAGGGAAGAAAATGTACAACAATGAATAAATGGAAACCCAAGTTCTTCATAAATTTTCATTAAAAATCTCAATTAAAAAAAGAAATATAAAATAGTGCAAGTTATAATTAAAAATGTTGATCAACTTGAAAAATAAGACTAAGTTTTCTGAATAATATCATCATGTTTTCATTTTCATTTAAGTGTGTTTTTAAATTCAGAAGCATTTCCAGACAGGCTTGCAATTTGGGGTTCTGATTTTATATTCCCACTGAGTACCAGCAAGAGAATGTTCCATGGTGTTCCTTCTCTGTCTTTGGCCCACAGAGTATGGTATAGCCTGGCTGAGTGGAAATTTTCGGTTAAAGAGACTTCATGAATTAGCTAAGTACTAACTGGAAAACTATGAGAGGGACATTTTCCTGTCATCTTCTCGGATGAGTCTTATAAGGGACAAATTTATTTTACTATTTCCCACACATTCTGTAAACATTTTCCAAAATGTTTTAACTCCCATTAATATTTTAGAGAATAACTCGGACTCTTAAAAGCCCTATCCATTTCCGACAGAACCTCATTCAGTGAGTGGGTGTGGGCCCAGTAGAAAAACTGGGTAAATTCCGTATAATCTCCATCAGTTTTAAAAGGACAGTATTGGGAGTTCTTATTTTTAAACTTTCAAAGTTTAGCTATTATTATTGGTTTGTAGCAAGGGAAACAAGTCTGTTATTTGTAAACCCATGATGCAGAGTAATTTAGTTGGCTGGCATAGATTTGACATTTCAGATTTATTATCAGCAATGCCATTTGGAAATGTGAGGAAGTGTGAGTGTCAAAGTGACAGAAAGACATTGTTGTCAATTGGAGGGGGCCACAGCCAGGAGGCGGAACGAATTGCAGTTTGAGTGAGCCAGTCCACATGTGAAGAATTGTCCCTCCGCAAATGACAATAGCAGCGCCATCTAGTGTTCTTTGTCCAGGATGCATACAGATGCGTAGATTTAAAACTTTAGAAATAAATTCCTGGAGTTGAAACTGAAATATTCCTGCTAAGAATAAGGACTGGAAAAAAAAACAAACTACTCCAGCATCAAGGTCCATCAATGATTAGTACCTCTAGATGCTTTTCTTTGGACATTGTTAATGTTCTCTTTCTGTTTTCCAACATCAGGCAGAATGCTACCAAACTCTCATTCTTTTTACTACGGTCTGTGAAAATACGTGTGTTTACAAGCCATGTCCATTTGTAGGTAGACCAACCTTTACCAAATTGTAAGAGATCTACCCTAAAGGAATGAAAAGCTAAGTTCTACAAAATGGGAAAGCTATTTTCTTAGCATTCTTATCTGAAGCATTGTTATGAAACAATTATAAAATAAGACCCAAGGGCTTTGTGATAAACTTCATAATGAATGAGCTTAAATCTTTCTTAGTTTATTAAAGAGTAGAAAATTGTCCTGTGTCCGTTCAATTCAAAGGTCTTACCTAATAATAAGAAGTAATTATTAGAGTAATGAACTGAGAATTTTGTAAACATAAACTTGTATTTGATAAGCAGGGTAAAAAATGCTGTGCTATTTTACAAATTTCAAATCACTTCTTGTTTGATACACTTAAATTCATGTGAAATAATAATATTTTTTCTTATATTAAAATCTGGGACAGAATTTAAGTTCATTTCTAAGTTTTAGAAGATGTATTTTGTTTTCTGTTTGGAATTGTGTTAATCTTGTAAATCCTCTTGTTAACTAAAAAAAATCCTGGTACATCATTTGTTATTTTTCCTTTTTTTCCCCCTCATTTTTACTGCCTATGATCTTAATTTCCTAATCTTTCTGTTGTGTAACAGTGGAATCTGAGTTGAACAATCAAAGATATTTCATACAGCACTTACGGTTTTACTCTAGGAAACTTTAAAAAAGGTATTTAGAAAAGCACTTGTAAAAAACTTTCAACACAACATTTTTTAGTTGTTGTTTATGTATGTTAAGTAAAATTCACTTATATTTTAAAACTGTGAAAGCATATTACATTTGAACATAACTTGGGACATTACACTACATGTTCAAACCACTGTTTTTCCTAGGTTCAAGGACGGTGTGCATAGTTTTAATATATAAATATGTGAAGGTGCCCTGAAAGTATATCCTTATTTCCATTACTTTCATATACATGATCTGGACATACCTCCAAAGAAAACAAATAAGTATGTGGTGATTATATTTCTAATTTTACTTGTAGCAATAAGATGCCTATTCTAAGATCAAAACTGAGAGTTATAACCTAACCATAAAACAATTGCCTAATTTCGGAAGTTATGGGAAATAGTTTGTCATATACTGTTTGTAGGGAAAATTAATTTTTTTCTTCCTGTCATGTTCTGCTGTAATAACATATATTAACAAATATACACAATTTAAGAGCAAATGCTTCCTACTTTGAAGGTCACCTAGTTATATCCTTGCTCCATATCTGCATATTTCTGTATGACTGCTCTGTTTGTTTGGGGTGAGAAACAATCTTTAAGTATGAAAGAATTGAAAATGAAAACTACATAAACCATCACTGTGAAACTCTTCCCATCAAAGGACTCTTCCTTCCAATAGTCTTACACAGATCCTATCATAAAATGCTGATAAATTGTTTCATGCTTTTTTACACTATCTCTGAGAGGCAAGTTTCCCTATACCATTGTAGTTCATGAGATAACAAGCATATTTAATCAGAAGTGAATTCTGATTCTATTAGAATTTTACCTTGAAATATACCTAGATTTCAGACCTAGTTCATTTTGTTGACTTTGAGTAAGTTAATGATGAGGTGCTTTTTAAAGTTGTTGAGGTTTCTGATCCCTTGAAATTATGAACAATATGCTAAAACATGCTTTTACTTTTACTTTTCTTAAAAAGGGTATAATATGGTAGTTGATAATTTGATATGTGTCCTGACTTTTGAGCTTAGTGGACTTACATATACTCTTGCTATCTTTTATTAAAACTGTAAATTTTTGTTCCTTTCATTTTAAGACCAAGTTTCAGATTGTTGTTATCCTGTTATCTTTTCTGTGTATTAAAAAGAACTCTTTCAATATATTTCTTTGATTCAGTGGCTACCCACCCTCCACTCAATATTCTTACTGAAGAGGACATACACAACTTTTATTAGTCATTTGAAGGGGCATTTAAGTGATTGCTTTGAGTTGCTTAGGTTTCATTTTCAATGACAAAATCTTTTATAGTTGTTGCTTATTTCTAAGATGCTTGTTGCCTCATTGAACTTGAATTGCCTGATATGTAAATCTCTGTGATCAAAGCAAAATTTAACAACTTAAATGTACTACTTCTCGCTTATTGACTATCTTGTTCTCTAGCAGTTCAAATTTATCACAGTAGTGAAAAATCCACTATCCCACTATTTTGTACATTAACAATGCATGTATGGCAATAATAAATTCCAGGATGTGAAATGAGAGAACACTGGGTAAGATGATTAGAGTCATTCGTCGACTTGGCTGAGCCATGACTCTTAATGGCTCAGGTATGGCAGTTACATCATGATGTAATTTAACAGGTATGCAGTGATGTAATCATCCTCCATTATTTTATCATAACACAAATTTGCATGGTCTTTGAATCCTAACTATGTTTACAAATGAGGATTACGTTAAGCAAAAGAATTACATAAATAGACTAAGACAGCAGCTATAGACTGAGGAAGCAGTTTTTGTATGTTCTCTGTTCTCATAGAACACTCTTAGTTTTTGTGTTCCTATTTGTATACTTTACATCTAGGCTACCGAGGTCAGAAGGGAGAAAGAGGAGAACCTGGAATTGGACTACCAGGGAGTCCTGGTCTTCCTGGGACTTCAGGTAACAGTAATTATCTTTATCACACAAACTCCTAAAAATGGAAATTTCCACTCCTCCCCTTTGGTGCTTATGTGATGCTTCAAGTCAAGTTAAGAATGATTCATGCTGGTTGGAGTGAGAAAGTGAGGGTCATAGGTGATATGCTTCTGTTTGTGTTTAAGTTTTGTTACTGGTGGTGGTGGTTTGTTTGATTTTTTTTTTAATGCATGTTTACTTGCAGCTTTTAAGTACTAAAGTTTTACAGTTACTGAAGTTTGTATATATTGTTTTTCACACTGGTTCTGCCATATGCCTTGTGACGAGGTATTTTATTTCATTAGCCCCAGGTGCTCCAGGTCCTCAGGGCCCCCCAGGTCCTAGTGGAAGATGTAACCCAGAAGACTGCTTCTATCCTGTGTCCCACGCCCAGCAGCGGACAGGTGGGAAATGAACGACACACCTGAAGAAGACTTGATTCCTGGTGATACCACCTCGCTATTGGAGCTAATACTGGCAAACCTTTGTAATAGGTGGGACTTTTTATTTTCTTCAGTGGAGGCCCGACATGAAAAGCAACAGTAATAATTGCAATATCAACATCTTTTAAATGTTCCCAAATTCATTCCATGTTTTGTTTTATCATTGCTACAATTTTTACTCAGTTATTTTTTTTATGAAAGACATGAGCAAGTCTGACAGTTCTTCAAGAGGAAATTATATCTTACTACTTAAGAGAGTGATGATGTTGTACTTGTTAGTCTCATCATCATGTATTTGGATTTTAGTTTCTGAGTTTTAAAGTTTTGGATTTTTCTTGATTTTTTTTTATGTTTAAACTTCCTATCCTTACTAAAAATTTTGTGAACTTTTAAAAATAGTTCACTGCTCCTGTTGAATGTTTTGGCTACTTTTTGATAGTTTAAGAATTCTTACACCATCATGCATCCATCCTACTTGTGCGTCAAAACAAATAGGCAATAAGAGTTTCGTTTTACAACTTACGTTTTGGAAAAGCCGTATGATGCTGTGTTATTTGGGAGCCAAAATAATCTATTGCCACTACTGAAATGATGTTAGGTAGATATAGTGAGCTCAATTCAAAGCAATCACCAGTGGCATGAATATGCACTGGATGGAAAAGAAGAAACAAATTTGATTTGTATAAGCACAAGTTCCATAAGAAAAGGTTTAACACTCTCTGGCTCCTTCATAGAACTTCTTGTTTGAGAAACAGAAAGCTGTTTAGGTGTTCAGTGGTAAAAGGCACCAAGCTGTCATTGGTACTCTTGAAACTCCAATGACCTACCAAGGTCTTCGGATCCCAGTAAGCATGATCCTTCCGGCTTCATTAATCTCTGAATTTAAGACAAAAAATTATCATCAGAACAAAGAATGGTATTCATAGCAATTGGAAAAGAAGGACCCTTACCCTAGGAGATAAAAGTATGGTGTCAGTACATGCATACTGAGAAGGTGAAGCTCAGAAATTCTAAAGGAGAATGATCATGTCAAGGCTTCAAAGAAAAGCACAGGACTGAATATCCAACTAGCACTCACACCAAAGAGTCTACGCTAAGACTAGCAAAAGGTGCTGTAAAGATCGTCTTCACTGAAAGCGAAAGAAAACACGTTAACCACCAATCAAATTTCCAAGTGGTCTTTTTATTGCCTAGCTATCAATTATTTTGAGAAACTATTGGTTAGAAACAACTGGTTTTCTAGTACACTGGACACGAGGATGTTGCAGAAATCTAGATGGTGGTCCTAGGGATTCTGCATCCGGCCCTGCCGCTACAGAAATCAAGAGTTCACGCCTGCTCAAAGACCACTGCAGATCCCAATTTAGCTAAACCTGGATGAGATGATTACTCTTATCTGTTTTGTGGTGTTTTTTTTTTCTCTCTACTAGTTTATTTGCTCTTATCTGTTAATTGAAAAATGGTGTAGAAAGGCAATCCCACTGAAACTGAAAAAAAAACCAACCTGAATGGGGTTGTATCTGGAGAGCATGCCTATATTCAAACAGTGTTTGTTCAAAGGCACCCATGACTTGAATATTTTAGGTGAGGGAACTGCTGGTCAGAAGTAGTCTGTGTGGCTGTGCATACACAAATCTTTTAGTTGGTTCATATTAGTTTTTGCTGGGATTTTTTAATTCAATTCCATGTTTATTTATTTCATCTTCCATGTTTATTTATTTTAAGTGGTTTTAATTCTAAATCTATAATCTTCCTCTACTTTCCTGTGCAATACCTACAATGGTGCTGTGTTTTTAACTTATAAAATTGAAATACACACACATGCATATCTTAGTGTAATGATAGTTTATCCTCCAAAACAAGTGTACATAGATCTAAAATTTGGTGCTATGTGTATATCTTGATCTTTTAATTTGTTGAACTGTAATTCTGAAAGCTTACCATTCATCAGTAATATGCCACTCACATTAACTTACTTGAATTTGTCAGAAAGCTCCACATTTTGTTTTCAAAGATTATTTTTTTCATAGTAAGTTGAATATCCTTTTGACTCTTTGCTGTAAAAAATATTTTAGTATTTTACTATTTTCATGAACTTTGTTGATTATGAGCAATGTATTCTTTTTTTTTCTCTTTTGAGTTAATGCTTTTATATGCAAAGAACCCACCTTTCTTTTATGAATTCTGTTCATCCAATCCATGGGAATATGTATACTTTCTTACAAATTGTACATTTAGGAATCTTAATTTCTATAATTTTTATTAATGTTTGCTTTATTCCTGTTTCAAGGATTTGGATTTATTCATGGGAATTGTTATGTGGTGTCTATTGCAAAGTAAAACTCTCCAAATTACTAATGCTCATTTTTTTGTAACTTGGACACATACTAAATTTATCCTTTATAAAACTAGAGAAATGGAATTGCATCCACAAAGTACTCACTTCTCTTACACTATTGTGTTATTTATATTTACATACTTTCCCCTGCCTCTCTATGGCTATGATCCACAGTCGAAGGTAGAGAGAGGCTGAGACCAGCTAATGCAGCACTAACTGAAGGAGAGATTTGGCAGTCACCTAATTCCTAACTTAATAAGAAGCTAAGCAAAGAAGAGGGAGAATTTCTTCCCCTAAGTACGTTAGTGGTGGTCAAATATCTTATCGTTTTAGTCCATTCCAACACATTTGTTTACTTCTCCCTAAATGTCAGTCCACAGCAAGGAAGAAAAATGACCCAATTTCTTAAGTTATTTGCAATACCAAATAATTTTAAGCCTTGACAACCATTTTCTGAATGACTTCCCATACCAACTAATTATAGGCCTCGACTATCATTAATATAATTAAGATGATATTTGCTCAATACATGTATGTTTGAATTCCAGTCTTTCATGCCAAGATTAGTTAATGCTTTTCCCATGGAAATCATTCTAAGCAATTTCTTAGTAAAAGGTATAACTTGAATTAATATATATGGCCTTTGGAATCTAAAAATAAATCAATCATTTGTTCATTGTTCTTTCCAAGTGAAAATATTAACCATCACTTCTAGCCATAATAGACACACAGCAAGTCTCAATTGTGTAAATGTTTCACCTTGTGATTTAAGTAATAGAGTGACTTCTAGCAGCCCCATTCACTTATTTCTGTATTCCTTAACAATGTTGAAATTTAGTCACTTGTCATATCATAGAGCTTAAGTTGTTAGCTTGATATATATTTTCTATATATATTGTCATTTGGTGTTTTATTTCTAAAATAACTTTTTTTATTACTGTGTTATAAATTTATTATTGAGGTTAACTTTTCTTCAGTCTTTCTCATCTTTTGAGAACCGGTGATATACCTCCTTTTGTCCACAAGATGGTGTTGAAAGTAACTCGTTCAGAAGAACTGAACAGATTTACAGAACTACTAGTCAACTGAGTGGACAATAACTAAATCAGACCCTTGCCTTTGCACATTTTGTTTTTACTTTTGTAAATTATTTTGTTCTGCTAATTTATGTTTTGTTCATTTGTTTGCTAATTTGTGCTTTTCTTCACTTTAAGTATTTTTATGAAACAAGCACAGAAAAGCTTTTTGATTATATAGTTGTTTTGATGGGGATATATACATACATTTATATATTCCTAATTAACTTGCAGATTTACTACTTATATCTTTAGTTTTGTTTGCACACAACCTTAATATTTTTTAGTGATTTACATGAAGTAATGCTTCCCACCTTTTGGAAAAGACAGATATTCTCACTTGACAGACAAATAAAATTTAGCAGTTAGCATATCTCAAGGACTATACAATTTAGGAAATTATATAATATCAAAATATCAATATTATTCAAGGTACTTAAAATTTTTTTATTATATTTCTATGATGGTTTTTTTCCTAGAAATATATCATTATTTATAAAGATAAGAAAAACTGTTTTTCAAGACACCATTTTTCTTTCCCCAGTATTGGTAATATTTTAAAGCTGTCTGGTGACCAGTTAAACCTCTCAGCTGCTCACCTGTGTCAACAGTTCGAACCACCAGCAGAAGGGTGTGCCTGCCAGTCTGCTTCTGTAATGTTCACAGCCCTGGAAACACTGACACAGTTTTGCTCTGTCCTAGCAGGTTATTAGAGTCAGAATTGATTCTGGCAGAGAGCTTAGTGGTTGAAGTAGTATTTTGAGGTTTTGCTGAAGCTGTTTGTAATTCCTCAAAGTAGTTTTACAGACTTGGTCACATTCCTGTTAAATTCTTTTTCATACTTGTCTGCTTCCACCTACTTAATACACACAAATGTTGAGGGTCTTTATTTTCCAGTGTTCTTCTTTAATATAATTTAAAGTTCTACGTTAGAACTTTAAATTTAACTTTAGAGTTGAGGCACCTCATTCTCCTTTATACTGTATCCTCATAGAGCTCACACAGACCTCTAAGATGAGGGGCTATGTCAAAGAATTGAACTTGCACCTTTTATCCCTAAATACTCCAGAGACCTCGCCATTGACTCATATTCCTCATTCATTGATAAAGCCACTGTTAATTTAATTCCATTCATTTACTTACTAGGAGTCACAGGAAACAAGGCAAATTAGCATCTCCATTTTTATTTTAGGTGGATTTGGAGTTAATAACAGTATGCCAGAGTAAACTGGTCAGATTGGTTAAATTGGGTGAAATGCCAAGTGAACACAGAAAATTCACTGAGGCACGTAGACTCAGAACACAATTTGATGGATGGCTATAAGGTGAGGGAAATGGGAAGCATCTGGTGTGAAAAACAATGTATTTGAATTTTGTAAAGAAAATATTTTTTAAAAAACCCAACAAACTTCAAGATGAAACAGGCATGTAAGGCCAAAGCTAACTTTAAGAAAATCTCAGTAGAAAACAAAATTCAAGTTCATGTCCAAAAGTGAAATATGGTTCAACTGAAGCAGATTTGTCCATGGAGAATACTGATTAAGTGGGAGATTTCACT